GCTGAGCTGCAAGATTGGCATTAATTAAACTCCTCCACGTTCAATCCAAAGTCGGTCTGGAATTGAGTAATACATCTACAGCTCCTGGGCAAACGTGATCACGTACACTGATGTGGGAAATAGGGCACAAGGAGATCAAAGGAAACGAACAGACCAACATCTTGCAAAAGCTGTAGCAGATAAATAAATGACCTCATAGTAGATAAATTGACTAGGTCAAAAACAGTCAAACAAGCTCCACAACATTTCAAATAGAAAAACCGAAATCTTTGATTCTCGAAGTTGGCTGGAATTATGAAAATAATGGAAAGCAAAATGGTTTCAATTTTTTTTGTAGAACGGCTCAATTTCAACATGACCAATTACTGTTACAATTCTGTTGTTTCAAGATTAGTTTGCCCTGAATTGGGTTTTTAATCCAGACCGAAATCTGATCCAGAATAATCGTAAGTAAAAAAATGGTCGATACATCTAACTCTTAAAATACAGTCATAAAAAATGATACAGGATTAACACAACATAAATTGTGTACCTGGCTATGAATTTGATGAAAACAAAACTTTTGTCGTTATATAACTTTTATGGATTACGAGGCATTTGAAAAATGGCAAATAGGAGGAAAAATTTGAAAGGTGGGTTGAGATGGAGAATTAGTGTCCGAGTGGATCTAAGTCACAATACCATAAGTGGTAGAGCAGCGGCATATTTAACCGAAGGTCGTCGGTTCGAATCCCGCTCGTGACACTGACTTTTTTTTATCTCAACCAATACCTTTCACAAAGGTTAATTAATTGAATAAAATTTGGTCAATCGGACCAAGAAATCTAATGGAATTAATAATAACATATTTAAAAATTTGATTTTTAATACTATCGACTATCAATTTGTAATGTAAATAACAAAACAATACAAAATACATAACAGTAGAACTAATTAGATTATATTTTTGCCTTTAAATTATTTGCTCACCAGTTAAGTAGAGAAATTGTTGGTGAAATATCACTTATAATGCATGGCAGCTAGATTGTGCTCAGAGCTAGTAAAAAAAAAAAAAAAAAAAAAAAAAAAAAAAAAAAAAAAAAAACTACTTCTGATTTGTTATAAGGCTAATGACGAGTTTAAAATTTTGGTTTATGACGAATAGAAACATTTTTTATAACAAAAACCGTCAGTCATTTCCTGTAATCAAACTCAAGTTTTTCTGCTTGAGGACATGACGTACAATTAAAATTTAAACTTAGTAATTAATATTTTGATGATATTAAGTTTTTACTGTAATTGTGTATCAAATTATTATTCTTAACATCAGCCTTTTTTTTTCTTAAACATCGTGTTTACATATTTGTCAAAAATATACTTAACATGATCGTGCAATATGACCGGGTTTTCCGGCTTGGAGCATGAAAAGAAAATAAGTCTCATTTATAGTGTTAAGAAAAAAAGGCGGAGTCAAATATTTTACTGGCGAACGATTTTCTGAAGGTGGCTGAATTGGAGCTAATGATCCAAAAATAGCATCAATTTATCACAAACGATTTTCAAGAAAATTGTATCTAACAGCGTACTTTTTTCAACCTGTAAAAAACATGTTTGATATAAATCTGAACTTCTATTTCGGTTAAGCTCAACTGAAAATGACAATCTTTTCAACGGATATGTCAAGTGCTTTTCTACAAATATTATAAGTGTTTTATCTCTGGAGAAAAGAGATACGGAGGAAAAGAATGAGAGAAAGAAAGTTAGAGATAGCCAGAGATAGAAAAATAAAAAGAGTAACAGTGAGAAGGAGGAGAGTGAGAGAGAGAGAGAGAGAGAGAGATAGATGAGATAGAGAGGGAGAGAGAGAGGGAGGGGGAGAGAGAGAGTTTGATAAGCAGGGATTTTGATTGGATAAACGATTTATTTTTACAAATCTCGCAGAGTTAGGTTAATTAAAATTGATCATTCTTACTCAACGAGAAACGAACATTTTGTTACACTCATGCGCTTCGAGTTGATCATATGTATTTCAAAATTTACATACATTTAACCGTAATAAATCAATAAGAAAGAAATCATGTAATTTCAAAATTTACTAGCAATGTGTTGTGTTTAGTGACCGTTAATTAATGATGATACGGAGATCGTGAGATGCGGTCTTGTGACGGAGGGTTTAGAAATACATTTTCTTTACCGGACCAACGTTTCGATCTTTATTGAGATCATCTTCAGTGTTCAAAGTGTTATCTGACTGACCTGGGATAATGTGTCTAGAAAATTGACGATCGACCAGTGCGTGTCTGTTCGTAAAACGGAAATTTAATTAATTTGGTTCTACATAATTTGGTAAATTTTGAGAAACAAGATTTTTGATAACCGGCTGTGTAATAGGTATGTTTGTCTCGTTCGCATTGGTAGCTTGCTCATCTTGTGTTTGGAAGTTTGTGAGAGTCATTTCATCGGGAGAGTTTTGAAGTTTACCGGGTTGTGAATCTATTGTTTATGATTTTATGAGTTTTGTTAATGTATCAAATTGTGTGGAAAGTTCTTTAAAATTGTTCTTCATGGTTAATTCCAAATGTTGCGCATGTATCGCAGATCCGACTTTCCAACGTTCTATTGGTTTTTTACCCAATTTGTTCTGTTTTGTACTCGAGACACGTAAAGTGGAGGTTCTTCTTACAATGGGAACATGTTGAGTATGTGAGTGTTATTGTCATTTTGTGTGAAGCGAGAGAAGAAAAAATCAAAATAAAATATATGTCTACTTAGTTTCATTGAAAGATTAAAAAAACTAGAGTCCACACAAAAAATAAAAATATTGTTTAATTGATAAAAGAAAAAATATCAAAACATAGAAAATAAATTGGAATTATATGAAATTTATGTCTTGGCTGGTCGCTATTATTGTTAATATGGATTTGTATTAATGGCGAAAAGGAATAAATATTCTCATCTCGTACAAATGAATAATTATGAAATTCAAGTGTATTCTCAAATAGCTTTGGTTGTAGGTGATTATTTTGAACTTCTAGAACGGCATTGCGTATTGAAATATTATCAGATTTAATATCTTTCAAGCTAGATGCGCCGCTGCTCTACCACTTGAGCTATGGTGACCTTGATCCACTCGGACACTAACTTCCCATCTCAACCCAACCTTTTGAATTTGAGATGGGAAGTTGGTGCCGGAGTGGATCGAGGTCACGATAGCTTAAGTGCTATAGCAGCAGTTAATGTGATTTCACAGTGAAGGGCATCGTGCATTGCATCATCTGGTGAACCGCATAGGCAAAGTGGTGAGTTTACACATTTGAATTTGTGTAATTTGGCGGGGAAATTTTACTTTAAGCGTGTTCGCATTATTAGCGAAACCTTTTAACACAATCCGCACTTCGACATGTTAACCGTACAACATTCAGAAGCGTAATTAGAGTAAGACCGAGGCGAGAGAGAGAGAGAGAGAGAGAGAGAGAGAGAGAGAGAGAGAGAGTGAGTGATATAGAGTAAGTCNGAGAGAGAGAGAGAGAGAGAGAGAGAGAGAGAGAGAGAGAGAGAGAGAGAGAGAGAGTGAGAAAGGGTGAGTGATATTGTGAGAAAATTTAATAGCTATTGGAACATGGTAGAGAGGAAGGAATATATAATCAGCAAGAAATAAAAGAAAAGAGGGCGAAAAAACGTTAATAAATAGTGACTGAAAAAGGAAGCTTGCGATTGTGAGAGAAACCAATAGAAATTGAGAAAAAGAAAGACAAAGATAGAAAAAGATTGGTTGAGAGAGTAACTTACAAAGAGTGATAGAGAGTGAGAGCGGGAGAAAGAGAAAGAAAGAGAGAGGGAGCATTATTTTTTAGTTATTATTTTTTTGTAATCACAAATTTTTCTATCATATAAACGTTATATACACTCACTACAAAATGCACCTCCCAAAAAACAACAACTTGAAAATGAGACCTAGTACTTGTTTGGGTTTTATAGGCCGAGAAAATATGAATTTTCAAAACTTAAAAGTTTTTCGTGCAAAAATCAGATTTGTCGGTTTTGTTGACGGGAAGTGTAGTTTTTTCTGCATAGTTTCTTTTATTTTGATAAGTACTAATTATTGTATGCATACTGTTAATGTTTATTCTAAGTGAATATTTCTCCCTTCTTACTGCCAAACTCTGACAGACGGCATTAACGATGCCATTATACTTTGTATATTATTAAATTTTTATGTGAATATTATAAATCATTCCAATACAAAACTAATTACAATCAATTAATTTATCTTTATTTAAGGTATTTGTTGAGATAAAGATCAATGTGAAGAGGGAGATCCCGCGGGGGTTGAAATGGAAAGTTAGTGTCCAAGTGGATAGCTCAAGTGGTCGAGCAGCGGCGTATTTAGCTGAAGGTCGTGGGTTCGAATCCTGCTAGTGACGCTGACTTTTTTATCTCAACCAATACCTTAAAGAAAGATTAATTAATTGAAAAATATTATTTGGCAAATCGGACCACGAAAATTAGGGAATTAATTTCAATTATTGCTTCTCTCAGTGAATCTGGTGCTCAAGGTTTAAGATTACCTTTTATTGAAAGTTGTTTAGATTTCTAGCCACGTGATCTGTAAATGATAGATTGAAAAGTTTTTTTTTTTTAATTACAATTAAATATTTTGAGAATCGTATATTATGGTTGAGAGTGTTATTAAGGAACTCCATTTTATTTGTGTAAATAACTGGGCTTTCTCGTTTCGACAATTTTAATTGATGTTAATGAATGTTAGCAAGCAAATAACAAACTCAAAAATAGGAGAGAGAGAGAGAGAGAGAGAGAGAGAGAGAGAGAGAGAGAGAGAGAGAGAGATTTAATAATATAGACATTTTAATTTACAGATAAGAAATGACGTCAAATAGAATACAGGTGCTTTCTGATTAAATAAATTCATTTTTTACTGAATCAGGTTCCGATTATTACCTAGGAATCTGAGTAATAAAACTAGATTACTCACAATGATGTAAGGATTTTATCAATTTTAGGTTTTGAACTCAACGAACCCAGTGTGATCAGAGGTTTGAAATGGGTTGCTGCGATTTCTTTGTCGTCGCGTTCACAATTGCCAACATGACAAACGGTGGATACAACTCCCTGTTGGACGTCGGTTTAGAAAAGGTGGACACTTGGTCGCAGGCCAAATCGAACAAAGTGAAACTCCCGGATTTCATCTATCCACTTAACCACCAAAGAAAGTTGTGGATACCTTCGATCATTTGCAGCCAAGGGAAATTTGTGGATTTTTCAGATCTTAAGAAAAGGTTGGTTAAAACGAACGTAAAAAATATAGACGGAAAGTAGAAGATTAAGGTTGTGTTGTGAGAGAAATAAATAAAGTTTTGTAACGGCACGATAAATTAAATATAGCACAGAGAGAGAGAGAGAGGCCAGGGTAAATTAAATATAACAGAGTGAGAGAGAGTGAGTGATGGGGGCAGGATAAATTAAATATAACAGAGAGAGAGAGAGAGAGAGAGAGAGAGAGAGAGAGAGAGAGAGAGAGAGANAGAGAGAGAGAGAGAGAGAGAGAGAGAGAGAGAGAGAGAGAGAGAGAGCAGGATAAATTAAATATAACAGAAAGAGAGAGAATGAGAGAGTGAGAGAGGGAAAGCGAATATTAATTAATTCATTCATTCCTGCTATAACAGAAATCTATATTTGCCGTTGCAGTGCAAATCTACAGTGTTGTATGCTCTTTTAAATGAACCGAACGTCATTTTTTCAAGAAATTAAAAATATTCCAATATTTGACGTATTTCGTAAGGGGATACATGACTGAAATCGAAACGTACACTATTTCATTTTTTATGTACGGGCGATAAGATCTTATTTGGAGTTCAAATGAAGCAAAAAAATTGGGGTGTGCCTTGGTTTCGGTGGTTTATCACACCATTATCAGTGCCTTTTTATTAAAAAAAATCACACAATTACATAACAACATATTATTAATCTGTAAATTTACTTGACCCATTGTGATGAGGAGAAAAGAATAATAAATTAATTATTCACATGCACTTTTTATACATTTCCTTTCACCACAATGGGTCAGGTAAATAAACAACTTAAGATTATGTTACACTGTATTTATGTTAATTTTGGGTTTTTTAAATAAAAAGATGATGGAAGAATAAACCACTGTCAACTCGACTCAGCCCCAAAGGCATTTTTTTATTCGTAAAACCTCTACAGAAGATCTTATCCCTCACACTTAATTTTCTGAAGGTCGATAACCATCCAAAACAATCTTCATTTTGATGTTTTCGGTTAGTGTTGTATATTTTACATACTTGTTATTTGTTTCAGCAAAGGAAATGTTACCTATGAAATTTTTGGCAAGACCCGATATATCGGCCTTTATCTGGGTATGGACTCGTTGAATTTGGTCTACGATAAATGCCAATTCTCGTTCTTCGGAATGTCGACGACAAACCGATTACATTGGACCATATCGAACGCAATGGTGCACGTCGTCATCTCTTTCGAAGACAGGCCGGACCGTAACTGCCAGCTCAAACTCGAAAAAGTAAAAGTGGTACGGCTAGGAAAGGTGACCCTCGCGCGTCGGACCGGCTTGGTAAGCCGAACCTTGTCCAGCATTGTTCAAATGATAACGTCCGTTTTCAAAAATAGTGTACTCAGATTGTTGGACTATCATCTGACAATCGGAATCAAGAAAAATCTACCTGTTATCTGTCAAAACGTTGCCGATTACTATTCAACGTTGGACTTTAATTTTGGCTAAATTTATTTATATTTGTTATAGATTCATTACAGTTTTGTTAATAAATACATTTATGTTAAAATTCCAATGTATTACAGAATGTGGATTTCATCTGTAAAATGTTCAAACCTTTAAGAAATAAATTATTTTGAAAAATATTTCAAATTATTAATATTTATTGACCGTTAATTAATGATTATTTGGAGATGCGGTCTGGTGTGATGAACGTTAGAATTTTTTTTTATTTAAATACGTTTCGAGCTTTATTCAAATTATCTTCTTGGCCTCAGATTTATAAACGTTGTTTAAATTATACAAATAGACATAAGATATGAATATGAATTCATTCAATGATGTAAATAATATAGAAATTTTAAGTTTCATCACAACATTTGTACTCACACAAAGTGTGTTTTTGTCTAGTCACATCACTGTTGTGGGTCGGGTTGATAGTCTTAGTGAAATTTTAGTGTTTTTTGCTCATACAAGTTGGATTTTGAACGTGTATGGAAGGAGGTAGGGATAGAAATTCATTGGTATTGGTTAGCCTTTCAGGATTATTATATACAGGATTATTAGGGTAAGGAGAGACAAATTGTTCGTGATTTAAACTACATAGAATTGTTTGATGTGTGGAATGTAATAATTGTTTTATATGTTTTGTACGTGATATGTATGTTGTTGACGCTGAATTTGATTTATGTTATAAGCGTAGCTGCTGCTGGGTTTATTATCTGTTCTGTAATTGATGCTGTGTTTTACTCTGTTCACGTAAACCATTTATTAAAAGTTACGTTTATGCTTGTTTTGTGTTGAATATTTTTGGATTGTTGAAATCGAAATTGGGTTGATGTTCAAAATGGTGGGTAGCCAGTGCTGCAGGATTTTTTTTGCAATCTTTACCCCCTTATCCCAATATTGGGATGTAATAAATAAATGTAATATATCTACACTCAAAATCAAACATGTTTAAATACAAAACATTAAAATCTCACTAACACTCTCAACACGAAACACAACGACACATCTTCTAAGAAAACACATACTTTGAGAGAGAAAAAAAAACTTTGATTAAACTTAAAATTTCTATATTGTGTACATCATTGTATAAATTCATTTTCACACCTGACTTGTATTTTCTTAATTTAAATAATATGTATAAATCCCAGGCCCTGAAGATGATCTCAATACAGATCGAAACGTTGGCACGATAAAAAAAATGTTTTTCTAAAATCTTCGTCACACCAGACCACATCTCACTATCTCCGAATAATCATTGTTTACATTATACACCTACATGGAGGATGTGAAAAATTTAATGTATATATATTGATAGAAATTCATTTTTGACATCCTACATGTAAACAATTTTTATAAATTCCAGGCCCTGAAGATGATCTCAATAATGATCGAAACGTTGGCACGATAAAAAAAAATGTTTTTCTAAAATCTACGTCACACCAGACCACATCTCACTATCTCCGAATAACCATTGTTTACATTATACACCTACATGGAGGATGTGAAAAATTGAATTTATATATTGATAGAAATTCATTTTTGACATCCTACATGTAAACAATTTTTATAAATTCCAGGCCCTGAAGATGATCTCAATAAAGATCGAAACGTTGGCACGATAAAAAAAATGTTTTTCTAAAAGCTACGCTACACTAGACCACATCTCACGATCTCCGAATAATCATTGTTTACACTATACAACTACATGAAGGATGTGAAAAATTGAATTTATATATTGATAAAAATTCATTTTTTGACATGCTACATGTAAGCAATGTTTATAAATTCCAGGCCCTGAAGATGATCTCAATAAAGGTCGAAACGAACGAAAAAGAAATTTCTAACCTGCATCAAATCAGACCACATCTTGTGAATTATAAAAGACGATATTTCAAATGATGATCAAAATTTTCTACGCTTATTATGGTTTTTTTTTCAGTTTTCTGCGTTAAACTTTGCCTGTTCCCCCCTCAAATTGAAAAAAATGGACCACTGTGGATAAAAGCCGTGAATCCTCGTGTAAAAAAATCTGCGTGCAAAATCTGCAAGGGTGTTATGATGACTCCTCATCCCAGATATAAACAAATCATAATTAAAACCAAACGATATTAAATCGCCCATTAAATGATTTGAATTAAAAAGTAACATTTCAACGAAGAAAATGATTTTTTTTAAAATCCTTATGTTTAAAAAAACGTATGATGATTATTGACCGTTAATCGATATTTATTTAGAAATCGTGAGATGCGGTCTGGTGTGATGTAGGTTTCAGAAAAACATTTTCTTTATCGTGCCAACGTTTCGATCTTTATTGAGAGGGCCTGGGAATTACAAACATTGTTTACATATAACAATTACATTTTGGATGTAGAAAAGTGAATTTAGACAATGCAAAATAAATTTTTTATATATTCAATCAAAGTATTTCTACTCACTCAAAGTGTTTGTCTTCTGTGTAATTGTGCCATTCTTGCGTGTCGAGAGTGCCAGTGAGATTTTACTATTTTGTGTTTATATACGTTGGATTTTGAAGGGGTGGGGAAGGATGTCGGTATAGAAAAGACATTTTTATAAATTATAAAATATATAAGGCGTCGGCTTCTTTGAGGTGAAAAGAGCCAACGAAGGCTTTGTATATCCCAGGCCCTGAAGATGATCTCAATAAAGATCGAAACGTTGGCACGATAAAGAAAATGTTTTTCTGAAACCTATATCACACCAGACCGCATCTCACGATTTCTAAATAAATTAAAAAAAAAGTTATATATAAAAATATTGTTTTAAATAATTTTGGAGAATAAACATTATTTAATCTAAGGAAAACATGACCACTAAATCGTGTTTTTTAATAAGAGAACTGTGGTTCTCAACGTTTGAATAATAGTTTCAGAGCTGGTTAGGAAAATTTCAAATAAGAGAATAAATTTAACCAGGGCATGGCCCAAAGTCGCACTTCTTATTTGATAAATTCTTCGGCTCTTCTTTGTTAGGACGAAAGAGAATTGTTTTCGTGTCATAGCCCCTTAGTCCACAAGCTTTATTTGCAAAATACGAAATCCTCACAGAAGGATTCCACAGATACTTAACGGATTCCATTTGAATTTTAAGAAAAGTGGTTTGAGTGGTTTAAATAAGAAAAAAACACTTCTTCCGCGTGATGCTGGTTGGCCGAGGGAAAAGCGAGATTTTGTGGTCAATCACACTAAACCCTTTAAAAAGAGGGACTGGATCCTGCAAGGGGTGGTCGGCTGGAGGGGTTGGTTTGGTTTGGCGCATGTCCAGCCATCCGGCGCCCTTTCTGTGACAGTTGTAGTGCGTGACTCAAGCAAGATGCTTCGCACTCCCATACACATCGCGCTAATTGGTAAGTAAAATTTTCCAGTATTCGTATTTTCTCCTTAAAAACTAATTCCTAAGCGTCGCGTTATAAGGAAAATCTCCAATATTCAAACATAACAAGTTCGTTATTATTTATAAATTATTTTTGTTATATTACTCAATTTGAATGTTTTTTTTATGACACTGTACACAATAAAGAAGTTTTATTAACTGTAAAATGTATTTAATAAGTGTAACAACACAAATATTCTTTTATTTATAATGAAACCCTGGAAAAATAATTTCATTTTCAGTCCTAAACACACAGGTCAAAATTGTTTTTAATCAACTGTTTATTTTACATTATGTTGTGACATTAAACATTGAAAAACACGTGAATAATCAATTTACCTCTTTAATAGGTAAATAATAATATAGCCAACCTCAATATAATGCATTTTAATGGGCTGTATCCGACGATTAAGATTGGCAGGCATAAATTTTACATTTCCTGTGAAGACTTTGACATGCAGTTTTATTTAGATTTTGGATTATCTATAAAAATTAACAAACAACATATGCATAATAAATATATTTATCTGAAAAAAGATAAGGATACTTCCCTCAAAATAATTATAAACATATAAATTTAGTTTGTAATGTTGTTCCTTCAGGTTCTTAATAAAAATGCTCATATTAAAATTGCAACTATTTTTCATGTCTAGATAATTTACAATCTTATATTTTTTTATTTCAGCACCATAAAAAGGCAAATTACAATATTTTTCCTTCTATGTACCAAATTTTCTCTATTAATGAGGCGTTTTTGAAAAACTAAAAGGGTTATATATCGTTAGGGGAATATTTTATATATCATTGTACCTTTTGAAATAATTTATAACAGGCAGAATCATTTTGAATTTTAGAATCACGAATGTGAAATCACAAGCAAATGTTTCTCTTTGTTATTAATGTATGCATTTCTCTGATGTTAAATTTATAGTCAAGTGTATTTCAAATACAATCAGCAGAATCTATTAACCGTTTAGAATACCTTGCATTTTAATGAGCTTTTCCACTAACAAGAGGAGACGTGGCATTTTAATTAAACTTTTTTTTGTTTACTAGGTCTAGAATTTTTCTAAACTGGCAGAAAATTGTATGTAAAAAGATATATGGAAAGTACTTTATTCCGCACAATACAATACAAATAAATGTTTTAAATTTTGGTTTAAAAAATTAGTATTAGTACCGATTGGGGAGGTCGAATGAAGAGTCTTATGCACCATAAGAAAAAAAATGAACCACCAGTTTAAATTTATTTGGGTGAAATTTTTTAATTAAAACGAATTTGTTGGTAAACACATTTTTTCAAAACTTTAAAAATGTTTTTTATTTGCTTTAAAAATTTAACTTATTTTAACCATTTTATTTAACGAAACAATTCGATTTCTCATCGGTGGATTTTGTAGCATTAATTATTTATTTATAAAAAAAATTATTTTTTGTTTGTTCCTTTAATATTTGAAAATTTATATTGTATTTTTTTCAGTGTTTACGGAGATATTCGTTTGAATGATAAAATTAGGAAAATTGCACCAGAACCAAATTTTTCTTATGACAAATGCACCACCCTATATATTGAAATTTACATTTTTTACCAATCAACAGAGTAAAGTAGATTAAATTATTTTTTTATGAGAAACAATTATATTCATTTTCCGCACCTATTAAAACTACATTTGAATACGTTATTTTTAATATTTATTTTTAGCAATTGTATATTTT